GAGGGCGTCAAAGACTTCAAAGTCGGTTCTTTTCACCTGTATGACGTTATTGACTGTTCCAGTTTTAGATGTCATCACAGCCTGACAGAGCATAAGCAGAAATTTGAAATAGATGCTTGACAGTGTAGATGAGGCATTTACATGAAGAGGAAAACTAAGAGCACATCAGTGATATGTAGACCTTCACTCACCCCTGTTGGATCCAGGATCCACTGACCGTCCACACAGAACTTGTACTGGTGCTCTCCCTCTGGCACGTCCACAATAGCCACAAAGTTTTTCTGGCTGGGTTTGAAAAAGAAACCTCGAGTCACATTTTAGTCCAAACACACAGCTGAAGCATGAAAAGATCTTATATATCTGTGGACCTTTTGTTGAGGGGGATCTTGGTGACCCAGTTGTTAAAGGAACCAGACACAACAACGGACTCCCACACACTAACTTGTAATCATAAATTTGTTAATGCAACGTCTCGGTCCTAGACCTTGATCAGGCAAATAGTTTGGTGCAAAGTCAGAAGCCATCTTTAATAGGGAGTGGCTCTGACTCTGGCCCCAATGAACAAACCCCACATACACCTGGGAGGTAGGAAACACCAAAAAAGAGAAAAAGAAGAGAAAAATAGATTATTTACATAGTATCTAGAGATATGAGAATCAGCAGTGATGTGGGTAAGCTGGGAAAGAAATCCTTTAAAAGCTGTCTGGGCCCAGACTTACAGGTGTTTTTTTGTAAATTAGCCTACAAATTGAAATATATATATGATAATGTTGGATCACATGAACCACCATCAGAGAAAACAGGTGAACAGTAGTGGTAAAACAGCTAAATAATTATGCAAATTGGACACCACTCTCAACCCCTTCAAAATGCATATTAACATATTAAACAAAGAAGCAAGTGTTTTATAAATGTAAATCACAATGTCGATATACAGTCAGTTTTACCCTTTCTAGAAATATTGCAGCATTGTGTGTGTACATATACAGGTGGACATAATTCACAGGCAATAGTGGTCTAAGACAGAAAGGCTGCATTAATACATTTATGATTGCAAGTAAGACAGTGCAGGAATCCATTTTTGAACCTGTTGGATGTGGTCGTCCTTCTCCGACGCATCTGCCTCATGTAATAGATGTGCGAGGAGTTCTCTTGGGAACCAGACACAAAGACTTCTTTGGCGACTCCGGACCATCTGAACAGTCGGTCTCGCTTGTGTAGGACTTTTCCTATCGCTGTCCAGGCCAGAAGTTCCTGTAGTTCTTGAGGAGCCTGAGGAGCATAATATCAATGTATAGTTGAAGCAGTTATAGTTGCTGTGTTAATGAGAGCATCTTCCTCTGTTACCCAACAAAACATCCGACTGTATGACCGACTAAGAAGAACACTGAGGACAGAGTGAACTGCTTTGTGTGTCTTTATACTTTCCAATAAATAAATGTATGTTTGTTTTATGTCTGTTTTCTTGCAAACATCTTCATCTTGTGAGTCCTCCTCCTAAGAAACAATGCATAAGTTTTGTTTTTCTAACCATTTTTAAGATCGTAGATGTGACTCATGTACACCTTCCTGTACTTACACCATATATCACCTTGTCTGTGTGTATAACACATATTGCACATCATGTAGAATATTTTTTTTAGAATATTTTCATATATCTTCATCATCGTATCCCAAGGTTTCTATCTAATGAGTATTTCTTGTTGCAAGTATTTGATTCCCCCACAGATATCCTGAACAGACCATAGCATTGTTTTTCCATGTTTTCAGTTTC